CTGAGGGTGCGTGAAGGCTGAATTTGAAATCTTTGGATTAGACGCGGCCAAGGAACAACTCTGTGAGGTTCCAGCCTCCTAGCATGGGCCGTTCCTAAAAAGGCTTTCTCGCCAAAAAAATTTTCACGTGCCCCTACGTGAAAACCATGCGGACTTGAGCGTCCATTTGGAGGATACGAGTCCGCATGTATGTGTAGATTAAGTCACCAAGTTTTGAGCCTTGTAGCTTTTGTGGATCTCGAGATGAAAACTTGTTATAGACGCACACACAGACACACATACACACAGACAACCCCTCGACAATATGCGTTTTTACATTGCACAGATTTAAAAAACACATAAAAATCTGGACTTGAAAACTTCTTAAACTTTCAAAATTCAAGCAGATGGTTTTCAGCTATGATGTCCAAGCACTTTGGGACTCTAAAGACTAATTCAGATTTACATAAAGTTTATGTCTTACTTTCAGCCTTAACAGAAATGGTTACCAGCTTTTTGCAGAAGAAAATCGGAAATTAAAAGTTGTAGGAAGAGTGCAGGCTCATTCACCTTATTTCCAACCAAACTTATCACACAGTTCTCTTCAACGCCAGCTTGCACAGAAGTAATCCAGTTTCTGACGTTCACAAACGATTGTTCGGATGTTACGTCGTACATCAGTATCACGCCATCCGCTTTTCGGAAATACTGCTTTGTTATACTGCGAAATCTTCAATGAGTAAATTTCACCGGAACAATGAAGTTTTGGGCACAAACAGGAAAAAATTTAAAACTTTTCTCCTACAGCCCATAAAAATTTCCGTACCTATCACGTAAAAAGTGGAAATTTCCTGTAGCTAAAGGCTAATGCCTCAGGCCAAACAGGCGCGGTCTTCACATTTCAAAACCTCACTTCTACATAATATTTCCATGGCATAAAAAAAACTTGAGTTACAGAAAGACAGCAAAAGCAGCGACCGCTTGCCAACATATTTTGCTACTTCTCACTTTCAATAATTAAATGAGAGGCAGGATGCAGGCAAAGTGATTTTTGCAGCTTCCGAAATTTATTACGAAAATCTGACAAGAGTTGACTTCGACAGCAGTAGCTTTGAGCAACTGTTTCGAAAGCATGAGCAGTGTCACGGACCACAACACTTCCCTGTGACTCGATGTCCTCAGAATTTTTTGCATTGTTTAAATTTATGCAGAAAAGCCAGAACATCAAAACACTTGCCTTTCCTGACCAGCAGTATCCCATAACTGTACAGCAACAACACGGCTGTCCAGACGAATTGTCTTAACAGTAAAATCGACACCGATGGTTGCATTGAAGAGCGGCTTGAACCGATTATGACAGAAACGATGCAGGAAACATGTTTTGCCGACGGCCGAATCGCCCACAAATACCACTTTAAAGATGCGATCTGGTGAGAAATCCGGACGTGGCTGAAAATGTCAAATGTCACGTGACGTCTTATTAAATTGGATTCATAACGGCTCTAACAGGCTCCCTAGTAATCGATCCAAGCAATTTTCTGCAGCAGTGTTAATGATGGATTCTGATCAACAGCGCGAGTCATCACTCTGAGCCCCCTGGCAAAATCCCCGCTCAAAAACGCTGCGCTGCTGAAGCTTACATGGAATTTAACTGTTAAGTAATTGACGGTTAATTTTTGAACTTCATCCAATTTGCTGACATCTTGAGTCTTCCGGTCGTGATAAGAAATTTATTTCAAACATTAAATTAAGAATACACTAATTTGCTAAAGATTATAGCGGGAAATGCTAAGAACAAAAAGATTGAGTGATGTTTGTGAATTCCCAGCAGACTACGAATCGACGAGTTTTAATCATGGTTATTTTCCAACAACTATTCCTACAATATTTTTCAACTTCAGCAATCCGCCAAAACCTTCACGATGTCGTACGTGGTACCGCGGGGTGAATGAAGGCTGAATTGAAGCTTGAGGGGTTGCACGTAGGCGGGGTACATTCTAATAAAATTCCAGCTTCCTAGCTTTCGTGATTCCGAGATAATAACTACTCCTGCTGTCATCCAGCAAGAGGAAAAATTCGCCTCGAAAAATCTGACTGCCGTGAACAACACAGCTTAAGCTTAAATTTATTGACCTCTCAAAAGCAATTCGCTTTCAGTGTGTCTACAACAAAAATCGTTAAATGATGTCGAAATCATTAAGTGACTTGCATCGAAATAGAAGTTTCATTCAAAGGTGTACAAAATAGAAAGTACCTCAGATGGTGGCACGTCATTGCTTGTCACCCCACATTCGCGCAATTCCTGCAAGTGCCACTTCTAAAGTCTTTTTTTTTTTTTT